TTCCGCTCCCCAGCCGCGCCCCTCTCCCCGCCCCCTCACCTCCCCCTCCCCCTGCCTCCCCGCAGCGTGGACGTCCCCTCCCCGCCCGCCTTCCACATCCAGTACGCCACAGGATGGAAGGCGGCCATGCTGCACTACCGCTGGGCGGCGGCGCCGGGAGAGGCGGAGCACCCCTGGCAGGCCGTCCCCATGCACTCCACAGCCTCCCGCGCGCGGCCCATCGGAGGCAGCTGGCTCACAGCCACCATCCCGGCCGCCGCGCTGCCGCCGCAGCCAGGCGCGGACAGCGGGGGCGGCAAGGGCGGCGCCGGCGGCGCCGCGGCGGTTGCCGGCGCCGCCGTCGCCGCCCCGCACGCCGCGTCGGCGGGGGAGGTGGCGGGTCTGGCGATGTGGGAGGGTGCCGGTGCTGAGGGCGGGCCCCAGGCGTATCGCCCTCTCGAGTTCTTTGTCAGCAGCAGCGACGGCAGCAGGGAGGACCGTCCCGGCGGCGGTGGCGGCGGCGCCTACCGCTGCATGCACCCCGGCGGCTACAAGCTGCTGCGCGGCCAGCTGCGCCCCTTCCCGGTGGCCACGCAGCCGCCCATGATGCTGGTGGGCAGGGGGAGGGAAGGCGGGGGGCTGCCGCCACTGGGCGCTGGGGCCGCCATCCCACCCTGCCCTGGCCTGCCTGCCCTCCACCCTGCCCTGCCTGCCCTCCACCCCGCCCTGCCTGCCCCTCCCTCTCTCCCCTCCCTGCCAGGTGAGCGACCTGGACGGCACGATGGTGGGGGAGGGTGAGGAGGCTGATGCGTGCACCCGCGACTTTGCCGCCTACTGGGAGGACAATGCGGCGCTGGCGGGCGGGGTGCTGGTCTACAACACCGGCAGGTGGGCGGGGGCAGTGTGTGTGTGTGTGTGTGTGTGTGTGCGCGCGCGCGTGTCGTGGCAGCGCAGTGTCAATGAGAGAGAGGGGGGGAGAGAGAGATAGAGAGCGTGTGTGTGTGTGTCCGTCTGTTGGTGGGACGAGCGGCGGGCTGTGCCGTGGGCGCGCGCGGATGGCAGCGCAACCTGCCGTTGCTTTCGCCCACGGCGGCCGCCTGCCCCGCTGCGGCACCCACCCCCCATGCCGCCACCTGCCCACCCCCTCCCTGCCTCCCCCACCATTTCCCCTCTTGCAGGAGCCTGGGTCAGTTCCAGGGCCTGCTGGAGTGGAAGGCGGGGGCGCTGCCGGTGCCCGACGTGCTCATCACTGCCGTCGGCACCAAGATCTGGCGGCTCGACACCGAGGGCGGCACGCGCGGCACCGCCACGGGGCTGGCCTGGAGGGAGGACCACCAGTGGGCTCGCACGCTGGATGAGGGGTGGAGCCTGGAGGGGGTGCGTGTGTGGGGGGGTGTG